GTTATATGATAATTATTATATTATTATATTTATTTATATTATTATAATATTTTAACAAACATTTTATAAATACCGAAGGTTGTGAATCACTGCAGGATAATTCTACTTTCTCAAAATTTTCTTTAGAAATTTCTTCTTTTTCTTTATAGATAGGAGGCAATCCTGTAAGGGATCTTGATAACTGCTGGCATGATTTTAATTGTTCCAGTTTATTATCATCTGAGATTGCACGCGATTTCTTCTGTAAAAATAGTAATAATTTTTGTATACACTTTACTTCTAACTATTTATTAAAATTTAAAAAAAAGTTAAAATTGTGTTTCACCAATTTTATATTGTCTATCAATAATTTTCTTTTTTTTAGAAAACAACGAATTCCTCCAATTGTTGTTATTATACGTGACACTTCAGTCTCAGTTATATTTAGAAAAGCTTCCTTATCAATGTCTTCTTCTAAATTCAATACCCTTATAGAAATATCATATTAAGAATCATTGATAATTACTTATTATCCAGTATTTTTAATACTGAAAATAAGTAATTATGAATGATTCTTAGTATGATATTTCTATAAGGGTAAGATATGAACATAAAATAAAAAAATTAATATTGTTTGACAATTTAATTTAAACCTAATTTTAATTGTAAATTACAATCGGTCATATTATCTTAATCAATGAAAAATATTCACCATATTAGAATGTGCATTTTTTTTCTCTGCCACCGATCTAAGATTATGTGTATAACAATAAGAAACGTCTAACCGAAACAAATACCAGTCAGTGTATTATTGTTCGAAAAAAAAAAACAGTCTAATCGTTATTCAATTATTTCACTTTCACAGTCTTGCTTAGCAACAGACTCTTTCTCTAAAAAGCGTATAAAGCATATATAATATAGTATATTATAGTTTAATGACGAAATGTTACCATATTAAGGTTATGACCGAAAACTTCCTTTTCGAGAAAAATTTTACTCGAAATATATAGTACACGTAATATATACTATATTATATCGAATAAAACTTTCATTGGGACGTAAATAAGGTTGTCTAAACTAAACCCACAAAGCATGAATATGCATGCTGTGTGAAAAGCAAGATATCAATAT